CTGTGCTCTTGAACATTTAATTTCAGACTGCCTATGTGCCTCGTCGAGTAACCGCCCTTGCCTGATGGTGTAATGTTTTTATTCAAATCTCGGATCTCGAATGGTGGCTCCTTTTCCTTATGTTCACATTTACCTTATATTTTGCCAACAAAGCTGGCAGAGTCATGCTACTAATCGCTTGCTCACACTTCTGAGTAAATGATATATTATCTGATAAGCACAGTATCTGTGACGGGTATTTCAGCGGATCGGCCTGATTTTCCTTTTGGCAAATCACCAGTAGTTCTTTCAAAGTGCGTTGCATTTCCTTTACCAATTTCCCTAGCCACTCCTTGAATTTAAGCCGAAAAACCGATTTAATCACACTTTGATGAACTTGAACCCTTAAACTTACCTCCACAGGGCGTTGGATCTTTACCGCATTTTCCAGCTTCACAACTTCACCCTGCAAAGAACACATGGCCACAATATTGGACGAAGTCGCATCCAACTGGACCGAATGGACTCCAGCAAACAGCTTCTTCAGGTGCGATTGAATCACTTGCTCTTTGGATGATTGGCCGATGATTTCCAGTAAATCATCGTCACTCAGGAAGAGGAATCTGGAAAAGATTTCCCTTTTTTCCTATAAAAATATACCCGAGCTTGAAAAGTGTCTATGAGCCGGGAAAACCAGCCAACCTTTAAGAAGGCATCCAAGCTGTGCTGGCAGCGCGATAACTGCTCCAAAATCGATAATAATGTAGAGTTGAGGTTCGGAAAATTGCATATTTCCGTCACCCGAGTGTCTCGTTCGATGAATGCCATAATTTTGCGAAAGTCCCGATCTAGTCGGTCGAATCTCACTTTTTCTTGTGCCAAAGTGCCGCCCCCAAAAATTGGCTCCAAATAAAGCCATCTGGAACAGCAACCAGTGAAAATGTGCCCCTCACAATGGCAAATCAACAAACTTCTTTTGAATCTGCGCCAAAGAGTTGAGAAAGCCATTCAATTCCTCCAACTTGTTTTCCCAACTAGTCGCTCTTTCCGCGAAGGCGTTCAGATTGCTGGAATGTTTCAGCGATTGCAGCAGAATCTGATGATCTCCAATCTGGAACTTCACTCGTTATGGCCACTCTAAAAACAAAACTTCCTTGATTATTACGGTGTTTAGAATATCCGTGAATTCCTTGATCACAGCAATTGGTTTCCCATGAGAATCTGCATGGTTTGTTAACAAAAACTTCGTCTGAACTTCCCACTGGTCGATCTCCTTTAGCGTCTGCCGAATCACAATCTCGCTAGCGGCCTTTTTGCATAAAGTTTGAAGCTCCTTGACATTGCCCCGAATATTCTCATGAACATCCAAGAAGTCTTTTAACAGAATTTGATCAATCGGTTTCGGCTGGATTTTTAGGATTCCGAAAACATCGCTCCAGTGCTTCTCCGAGAAATCTTCCCCCTTCACGTATTTTAACGCTGGGGCGATATCCTAAAAAAAAATTGCGAGTAGCACCGATAGTTTCGTTTCAACTGCTGAAGACGCACTTTGTATTTTTGCAAATCCTGCAAAATTGTGGACACAAACCGCGACAAAGTGTTCTCTTGATTAAACCGCTGTGCCCAAGTCTGGATGAAATCCTCCAATTCATAGCACTTTTTCCTGAATACGATCCAGTACTGCGAGGAGAATTTTTCAAACTCCGTGTTGAACTGCTCGAACGCTTTCCAGGACAACTCCTCTTCATTCAGGGCGCGTTCCACTTCAGTTATAATCACAATGTCCGGGTGTTCCAGGTTGAATTTCTTGTAGTTACAGCTGAAATGATCCTTCTGTATTAACATCACATAATTTCATGCAAAACTTACTGCAACTTTTCCTTC